TGTTAAAATAGTTGAGTAATCTAAAAACTCATATAAAAAGTACTCCATTAGTCCAAATACGTGAATTTTAAATGTATTTTCTTATTTGATAGAAACAAACTATACCTTGCACTGGCCGTCAATGAAATTTATGAGGATGGGTGAAGCTGAAAAAAATGAAGGAGGTTGGAGGCGATGACAACGGGAAATAAAACGGATTGCTGAGGCATTAAACAGAGTGAACGTTTACATCAAAGCTCCTTTAATGTCTTAATTTATGTTCAGACTAACATCAAATTGAAAAAAAAAACTGAAGAAACGGTCGATTGTGAGCAAAAATTTCTGGGAGCAAAAGCAGGAGCAATTAATTACAATAATCATACGTGATGTAGATTAGTGAGAGAAGCGGGAAAACTTTTGGGGAGGAGGATCCTAATTTTGATGATACACTGTTTTGAAAAAAAAAGGATACACCTCATCTGTGAGGGCCCCCAACACCGACCAGACGGTACGTTGGGAGGATGTAAATCGGACTATTATCACAATCAAACAAATAGAGAGTGAGGCTTTGTCCCCTGTACTTGTAGATCTGATGAATTCAGCATTCACGATGTGTGGACTTAATTTTGAATAATTAATTCAACATTTTGGTTTAGGCAAACACAAATGAATTTTGAAAGTTAGTTTAGGAACTCTTTAAATTTTAGGAAAACCCTCAAATAAAAATGAAAGAATTGAAAAAATATTACTCATAGAAGGTGGATGGACAAAAATATAACTAATGCACACTTCGATAGAAAAGTAAGTTAAAGTAACTCTCTCAGGCGCGTCTCTTCTGCTTCTGGAGGACCTTTCACGTGCCCGCTGGATACCTGCTCTCACGGTGTTGGTTGCCTCCCACCGTGGCTGCTGCAAGGCTGCTATCCTTTCCGACGAAACCTCATCTCTCCTCCGGCGGCGCCTCATCTGTCCTCACGGCGGTGCCTCATCTGCCCTCACGGCGGCACCTCATAATATGTCCTCACGGTGGCACATCATCTGTCCTCACGGCGGCGCCACACCTCTCCTCACGGTCGGAGGCCATTCTTCTTGTCCTGTATCTGGCTTCGTTTGGAGACTTACAGAGAGGATCTAGATTCGGATGCTCGAAGATCGACGGGAGACTATGGCGGTCGACGAAAGATGACGATTACCCACGGTTGGTTGCAATGATGAAGTGTAATGACGATAGCCGTTGGTTTTCTTGATTGACATCGCTAAACTGTGACTAAGGTGGGTGACAGAAGATTTAGATCAGAACTGTGACTAATTAAGGTGAGTGACGGGGTCGTGGATTTTGGTTAAGCTCAGATCTGGATCTGGATCCATGGCGCTATGGTTAGATCTAGGGTAGTGGTACGGTTTCTGTTGCGGTGGGAGGGCTGTGGGGTCATGGTGGGCATCGGTGCGGGGTTGATTGGGGCTTGTTTGGCGATTACAGGGCTAGAGGTGGGATGAGGCTCGGCCGGCGGCCGGCAGCGTCATTTACCGGAGGTGACGGTGTCTGAGGCAGTGCAGAGACGATGTGTGTCGTGTGGTGATGTGGAGTGATGGTGCAGTGTGGTCACTGATGGGCGACAACGGTGGAGGCAGCGCTGGCGGTGCTTTGGCGGTGTCGGCTGGGTGGCGGTCAGATTTGGTCACTATATATCTTTTGCCGGAAAATTTGACCGGAATTTTTTTAGCCGGTGTCAGTGACACTTGTGGAACGTTAGTGACCCCGACGATGGCGGCAGTGACACCGACGGTGGCGGCGATGACATATGCAATAACATTAGTGACATTATGTAAGTGATAATAAAATCTGTAGTGACAATAAAATCCGAAAGTGACATTCCAGGAGTGACATGAATATATGACAGTGACATCAATTAGTCACATTTTTGTCCTACTTTAAAAGTGGTCATTTTTTTCTGAAATTGACATTAATTTAATAATATTTATGTAAAAAACCCCAATAAAAATCTGAAAAAGAAGATGAAATTTGCAACCCATACTGTAAATAAAAATCAGAAAAAGAAGCTGAAATTTGAAATCCATACTGTAAATAAATATCAGAAAAAGTAGCATGAATTTACAATCCATACTGTAAATAAAAACCAGAAAAAAAAGTTGAATGTGCTGAAACGTTTTACATAAACATTTTAGTGATTTAAACTGTTGCTTCAAACAATCATAATAAAAACAACTTACTGCAGGCTAGAAGCATCAGAGCAGTGGATAAGCCGGAAATTGGTGGAGCAAGTCGGAGATTAGTGGAGGAAGCATTAGAACATTGCTATGTTAAAATAGTCGAGTAATCTAAAAACTCATATAAAAAGTACTCCATGAGTCCAAATACGTGAATTTTAAATGTATTTTCTTATTTGATAGAAACAAACTATACCTTGCACTGGCCGTCAATGAAATTTATGAGGATGGGTGAAGCTGAAAAAAATGAAGGAGGTTGGAGGCGATGACAACGGGAAATAAAACGGATTGCTGAGGCATTAAACATAGTGAACGTTTACATCAAAGCTCCTTTAATGTCTTAATTTGTGTTCAGACTAACATCAAATTGAAAAAAAACTGAAGAAACGGTCGATTGTGAGCAAAAATTTCTGGGAGCAAAAGGAGGAGCAATTAATTACAATAATCATACGTGATGTAGATTAGTGAGAGAAGGGGGAAAACTTTTGGGGAGGAGGATTCTGCTTTTAAGAATATATATAAGATTCACATCTATTAATGGTTTGAGATAAGCTCTTGGAAGTTCAAAATTAATTCACTGAAGTCTCGATCTAACAAAAAAATGATATATTAATTTAATTATTCCAAATAGCAGGTATGTGCCAACTGAACGCAAATTATATCGTACACCCGGATGTACGGTCCTTACCGTACATCCGGGTATTTTTGCTGTTAATTACAAATATGGTGATAAAGATTAGGGATAGAGAAGGCCGCTCGGCGCTCGCTGATGTCTTGGGAATCGATGGATGAGGATCTGCGCACATCTCTCTTCTCCGCCCACCATGACCTTCCACGCACGAAGCAACAACACCATCGCCATCTCTCTGCAATCGCCGTTGCACAGCCTTCGGATGGAGGTTGTCGATTCCGAACCTAAGGCGGCAGATTCGAGCTTCAGTGTCTGGTGCGCCTTCAAATGAAGTTCGCAATCTGTCTGCAATCGCCGCTGCACAGCCTTCGGATGGAGGCCGTTGATTCCGAACCTAAGGCGGCGGATTCGAGCTTCAGTGTTTGGTGCACCGTCAGATGAAGTTCGTCCGCCACTGTAGACCACGCCTGATGCTAAAATGAGTTTTATGTTAAATTAAAATGAGTATAACGTCCAAAATGAACGAGCACACAAAAATGCGTTTTTAAAATTTTTGATACTCATTTCATAAGTTATGTATGCTCATTTGGTGGTAATGGTATGCTCATTTAACAGAAAGTTTGATTTTCATCTCAATAAATGAGGTTTGGTGTTCAATGAACATATCGTTATGTTAAACTAACAAATTTTACGATTTTCATATCAATAAACATTTTATAAGTTACGTATACTCATTTGGTACTGATGTTATGCTCATTTTAAAATGTTATATTAATGCATATTTTAAAAGTATCATATTGCATTAAATTCGCATATGCAAATTCATAGAAGTGTATTATAGAAATAATTCAATTAGTTTTTATAAAAGAAAAATAAGGAAAAAAATGAATTAGAAGATATGAAACACAAATCATGATATTCATTGTTAGCCTCTAAATACTCAATAAAATATGTCAGATGCTCACTAAATGTACACTATTGCTCATTTAGCGGAAACCGTAAATTTTCACTTATATTACCAAAATGCCACCAATTTTTTTGGCTTGTGTTGATTTTTGGGCTGTCTTTCTTAATTGGGCCGGGTGTACATACACCCGGATGCACCATATACGTACTGCCAACTGAACCATTCCGATAATTAGTGCTGGAAGCTACACACGTTAGCAAGAACCCTGATCCCGTTGTCCCATTCCGATATATCCTGAAACCGTTCCGGTGTCGTCCCGTTCCGTTTAGGACCCGTTCATTTTGTCCCGCACCGGTCTCGTATCAGTTTAATAAGGGACATGATGAGGAACATTGGAAGGTTATCTCGAACCGCCCGTTGTCCTGAAGCACTACATAGTATTTTTTAGTTTTTCAAACCCAATTTTAAAATTAAAAACAATACCTAACATAAATATTTACTAACTTATGTTTTTCTCACTATATATTTGCATTTGAGTATCTCACAACTAGAACACATAATTTTGAATAAACAATTAATTCATTTCTTGCTTTGCTGTAATTTTTAATTACAATTTTTGCTAAACAAAATAAGAATCTAATGACTTATAGGTTTTTTTTGTACATAGATAGCTTGTGATGAGCATAGATTGACTTTTAAAATGTTACAGTAATATTTTTGTGCATGATAGTTTAGAAATACTAATATATTTTAATTACAAATGATGACTTGTTTCTATAATACCCTTTTCTTAATTTGGGACGTCCCAAACCGTTATGAATCATCCCTGTCCCGATTTAAATGGGACAAGACGAGGATACATGTTTTCTCGTATCACCCCGTACCGTTATTACTAATTGGATTGAGACTGAGATAACCCTAATCCCACCCCGACCCGTACGCATCCCAATCTTAGATGCTACTCAGTGTATACATACACCTAACAACTTTTATAAACTTTTTAAAATTATATTTTTTTAATAGTAATTTTTTAACAACGCTTAATAGTTTCTTTCAACAAAAAACAAACCGGTGGACGTAGCTCAACTGGTAGGAAGGGAGTGTCACAAGGGTTAGGTTCCGAGTTCGAATCCCGGCAACTGCGATGAAAGGTTACTATGCTAAAAATGCATAGGGACTCTGTAAGTACCGAGTATGGATATCCTTTTTTTTCAACAAAAAACAACGCTTGATAGTTAATATGGTTAGCCTATAGTTTTGAAAATAATTTAGGAGTTGCAGTTTTACTGGGCAACATAATTTAGGGGCTGGAAATTTGATTTCTCAGAGTTCTCGGACAACAGGGAGATGGCGGGTTTTGAATCCCCCAGTGGAAGGAGCTGTAGCCACTGCTGCTACTGTTTTGTGTTGGTGCTGCTACTTCTGATTCCAGGCGCGAAGGGGTCAGGAGAAGGGGTGATCAAGGTCAATTACAAGTTCTCCGGTTCGGAACGGACTCTAATCGCCCTAAGCGCCCATGACAACATGCGCCACCTCCGATTTCTCTCCGGCGTTGACCTGCCAATCGGTGGCACCGGCCGCCCCGATTCTGTCGGGTACCTATAGATTCCAGCCTCTTTAACCCCACTGTACATGTGCGTGCTTGATTTCGTACATCCTACATCATTTGTGTTCTAAACCAAATATACTTCTCCGGTCTCATTTATAGTCTTAAGAAATTCTATGGTCCTTGTCAATCTCTATTCTCTCATCCTTCATCAAGACTTAAATTAATAGGAACGCTCATGGAAAAACAAATTCCATTTGCTTTGATTCATATTAAAAGAATGACTGGTATTTATGACCTCATATCATGCTCTATGCCCTATATAAATAGGACAGGAAAGAGCATTTGTTCCATGACAGTAGATATTCTTGATGAAATGGATATGTACTTCTGCTTCGCTTCCCTTGTGTACACAGCTTTGAAAGGTTGACCCAAATCACCCTATATGTCTAGGTGGTGAAATACTTGGTTCTCACCCGCTTCAACATCAGCATAGAGAAAGAGTGGGTAATATCCAGCGGCTCAGCAGTTCTGCAAAAATTTGTATTTTGGGGTGGGCCGTAAGAGTAATTCATTAATAATTTTTTACAAACAAAACCGTACAAATGAAAAAGGGGTATTAACTGAACTTAGGGTGGACTCTGGCGCTAGATGCCCCCTATGTACTCATTGGTAGTATTGATTTGCAATGTTTCATTTGTCATGACATTCCCCTATGTAGTTCTACTTTGTAAAGCATTCTTCTGTTGATTATGATCTTTCCTATGCCGGAATCACCTTCGTGTGGTTATGAAATTTAACTATGTACGTTTTTCTTAATAATGGTTAGCTCCTTCATCTCATTCACATTTATGGATTTCCCAGTGCATCAGTGTGAGGCTTTTGCCGTAGTTAATTTTATGTGCATTGATTTTTGTAGGCTTTACTATGCCAAGATTGGAATTGGAACACCAGCATTGGATTATTATGTGCAAGTAGATACAGGGAGTGATATTATGTGGGTCAATTGTATTGGATGCACAGAGTGCCCCAGAAGAGGTTACCATGGAGTAGGTCTTTTTACCCTCAAAGGGGTTCAGTCTATGCTTTAGTTTATGCTTGGGCCTTGGGGCAGAGGATAAGATTTAGTATTGTTTGATTGAGTGTCCCTATTTAATAATAACACACATTGCTTGTTTTCTGTTTGTAGATGGAGCTGAGTTTCTATAATCCAAAGGAATCTGTTACTGGAGATTTAGTTTTGTGCAATCAGAAATTTTGTAAGGACATCATAAGAGGCACATCAGCAAGTTGCTATGCCAATACTTCTTGCTATTACACTGAAGTTTATGGAGATGGAAGTTACAGCATGGGCTACTTCGTAAAGGATATTGTACAGTATGATCAAGTGTCAGGTGATCTCCAGACCAGATCATCAAACGGAAGTGTTATTTTTGGGTCAGTTGCATTTTGGTTTTGTTTATCATAAAATGCTTTTGTAGATGTAACTGTTAGATCTTCTCAGGAATTGTTTTATCTTTGGGTTTTTGTAACTTTAAAATAATGTATCTTACATTGGCCTAAGCCGTTTGCTAATGTGTCATTTTATGTTTTTTGGCAGATGTGGCGCAACCGAGTCTGATGACCTGAGCTCCTCAGATGATGCACTTGATGGGGTCATCGGATTCGGGAAATCTAAGTCATCCATGATTTCACAGTTGGCCTCTTCGGGTAGAGTTAAAAAAATGTTTGCACATTGCCTAGATGGTGTGAATGGAGGAGGTATTTTTGCCATTGGTCATGTTGTTGAACCAAAAGTAACTATGACACCCTTGATACCGAATCAGTATGCCAATTCTATCTCCCCCTAATAATAGTATCTATTATCCTTATCTGTTTCTATATATTATGTCAATTTGCATAAAATGATACATGAAGATTTGTTTTGGACACAATTTATGAAATATTACTCCCTCCGTCCCGAAAAGGTTCGACAAATTGACTTTTATTGGTCAATGACAATCAACTTTGACCAATGATATTTTTTAATACGAAATTATTTAGAATATGAAAGTTATATCAAAATGTTCTTTATTCATAATATTTTCATAAAAGTATAAAATTTATAAATTATATGCAAATATAATACTTAAAATCATTGTCCAAAGTTCATCATCATTGACCAAGAAAAGTCAATATGGCAAACCTTTTTGGGACGGAGGTAGTATTATATAATTTTTAGTTTATAGAATAATATAGCTAAAATCAATGACTGCGGCCTTAAATGGCATCAGACGAAAACTGAAGATACTTGTATTGCAAATAAGCAAATTGGTTGATGGTATAACTTTATTGTAAATTTTTAACACATTATTAAGATAACAACACCGGGTTGTTGATATAAGAGCTTCAGAACCCAATTGCTTTTCATGGAGTTCAGTAAATTTATATGCTTAATGTCTTTGACATTTATTTACAGTCCTGTCAACAACCATACTTGTATCCTGCTTATATGCAGTTATTATTACAGAAATATTCCATATCACTCATTTTACTTTTTCAATAAGAATAAAGAGATAAACAATGATAAATTCAATTCAACATGCACTATGGAGTAACTTTGGCATGTGAGTTTAGTGTATGTTGATTTCTTCTTTAAGTTTGGCTTTTGTAAACATGTCTTCTTTGTTTTCCATAGCTGCAACCTTTTTACTCAATTTTTGCCTTATGAAGTCCAACCTCTTCTGAATGGTTATTTCCAGGTCACATTACAATGTCAACATGACAGCAATTAAAGTTGGTCATGAATATCTTAACCTCTCAACATATCTATACATGCACGGGGACAATCAGGGAGCAATAATTGATAGTGGAACTACTTTGGCATATCTTCCAGAAGTCATTTATAACCAACTAGTGAAAAAGGTTGTTAACAATGTCTAATACAACTGGTTCACTCATATTCAGTTTAGTAGGAACTAGGAACTGGATGAATGTTAACACATTTTCATCATCAATCTTTTGGTAGATACTCTCCCGGCAGCCTGATTTGAAATTACGCAGTGTTAATGATGAATATACGTGCTTTAAGTACTCTGAAAGGTATATGTTGCTAAATTAGTCTCTAGTATTCAATGTCAATGAATGGACTGAATTGATCTAACCTTGACATTCATTATCTATGTCCATTATAATTAAATTTCTAAATCTCTACCATGTTGACATGCTGGGAATTTTAGTTTGTTTTTATTTTGCACTTTTGGTTACGACCATTGGAGAGCAAGGGTTTCAGACTGAGCCAAAGCAAGACTGAGTATATGGAGCGCAAGTTCGGTGGAGGTAGAAGTAGTAGCAACAGTGGGATTACTCTTGATGGTAAGGAGATATCGGTGTGCGATATGTTCCGTTACTTGGGATCCATAATTCAGAAGGACGGTGAATTAGATGGAGATGTATGCCATAGAATCAGAGCTGGGTGGATGAAATGGAAGAGTGCTTCAGGATTTCTATGCGATTGAGGTATGCCGACTAGACTGAAAGGTAAATTTTATCGTACAACAATTAGGCCGGCATTAATGTAAGGCGTAGAGTGTTGGGCGGTGAAGCAATGCCACATTCAAAAGATGAGCGTGGAAGAGATGCGTATGTTGCATTGGATGTGTGGACATACCAGAAAAGACCGCTTGAGTAATGAGGTAATCAGACAAAAGGTGGGAGTAGCACCTATAGAAGATAAGATGCAGGAGTCTCGTTTGCGCTGGTTTGGGCATGTGCGTAGAAGACCGAGTGATGCACCTGTTAGATGACTTGAGGGGTGGGGAGAAGAGTCAGAGAAGAGAGGGAGGGGAAGACCCAAACAGACTTGGATTAGAGGAATCAGAACTGATATGCGTCTTCTTGGTTTGGATGAGAGTATGGCTTTGGAGAGAGCAAAGTGGAGGGTGCACATCCGTGTGTATGATTGATGTCTTGTCTACCTTTCCTCTCTTTTTTCTTTTATCGTTTATCTTCCTTTTATCTTTTTATATTCTTATGTTATTTTTATCTTCTAGCTTTTTTATGCTCTTTTAATTTTTTATCTTTTATCTTCTTATATTCTTGTGTTATTGTTATCTTACATTTATTTTATCTTTATTTTATTCATTTTATCTTACTTTTTTTCCTTTTCTTGTCCGTCTTCTCTTTTTGGCATCGATATCATAGATCAATTCATGTTCGCCGACCCCAAATTCTTTTGGGATTAAGGCTTGAATGTTGTTGTTGTGTTGGTTACGACCACTGCTCAAAATTTTCACAGGGACCACACTTGGGGTTACGACTAGTGTTCAAAATATTCATAGGGACTGCCCTTAGGGTTATGACTTTGTTTTTGTTTGACCAAGTTAACTGGTACACCAGAGGTCATTTGCAGTCCTGTACTGGACCAGGTTAGAATAGGGTTATTCTCATTCACCGGTGGAGGAGGGGGAGGGGGGGGAGGGGCAACATGGGCCCTGGCCCAGTGAAAATTTGGCTTACCCCTTAGAATATATAACAAATACATTTTAATTTAATGTTAGCCCAGTCTGTAATAATGTTGGCCCAGTACTAGTTTTTTTTTCAACCTGGCGGAGGAAGCTGTAAGTTATAATCGGTTATAAGTTTTCATCCCAGTGAGTAATAATGTACTGCTTATGCATATAATCGGTTATAAGTTACTCAGTATAAGATGTGAAGTTTTGGCAATGACACATAATAGTAAATGTACTCTTTATGCATATAATCAGTTTCATTCTCCAATCTCTACTCAATTTTCAGGTTTTATTGTCCAATCCTAATTTATAAAACTAATTTTTTAATAATTTCACTTTTTGAGTTTGATAAATTTTAGAGACCCTCTTATCAACACATTTTCTAATTTTAGAAATCGCCGCGTCCAATTAACTTTTTATTATAATGCCTTATATTTTTAGTAATTAATTTTGAAATGAAGTTGAAATATATTGATTTTGTAACATATTCATTATTTATAAAATTGGGTTTGAGCTAACATTTTTAGGATCCGCGTGGTGACCATGTTTTTGAGCTTAATAGGCTCATCAGCCAATTTTTCACCTAAGACTTAACATTTGATTTCATGCATTGGATAGTACAATAATTAAAATAAGTAAGGTTGAAATTAATTTTTTGACTGAATTGGCTGAAATTAGTATAGAAGATTATTATAGCTATTTTTCCATATAATTTTGTCTTTATTTTCTTAATAACATACTCCGTATATTTTAAATATAATTTTCCCATAATTCAGCAAGACTCAGCTGCTTCAGCGAGGATTCATTCAATCCAGTCAATTTCATTGTTACCCATATTTTATATTTAGGATGATTTAGTGTAAAATCAGCCCACCCCTATATTTGGTCCTGGCTCTGCCCCCTGTTCTCATTGTGAGAAAGGGCACTTAGAGCGTATGATAGGGACATGGACTTCCAATAATAATAATAGTAGATTTATACTAAGGGGTGTGATATTGTATAAATAAGGGTTTTGGGCTAGGTACTGTTAGCTTGGGCCGGCCCATTAGGGAATTTTATTATAAATAGGAGTGGAGTAGAATAAGAGGGGGGAGAAATTTGGGATCTGGGATTAGGCTTGGGAGTGGGAGACGACTCGAACAGTCTCAACAGTATCCGTTCTTCTCTATTTTTCTGTCTACGCCATTGTAATCCAGTTCAATCTCTTAAATCTTCATTAATAATATTCTATTTTTCTACTGTGATATTCTGGTTTCTATCATTGGTATCAAAGAAGTAGGCCCTGGGAAGCTTCGATTGACATTCACGCAACAAAAAAAAATATGGAGAATCGCACTTCTGGTTTGCGCGCAAATCTGGAGAATAGCACCTGGACGAAGATGGAAACGATGCTGGACGAGATGATACACCATTTGCGTAAACAGCGTCGCAGGAGAATTAGAGGCCGAGCGAGGAGTCCTCCTAGACGCCTTCGGCCAACTGAAAATCAGGTTTCTTCGACCGTTGCTCTTCCTAGTTCGCAATCACGAACTGCTTCGCGTAGTTCGCAGGCATCATTGGGTGCACAGGTCTCTTCTCAGTCGCGAGCACTTCCTTCCAGTTGTCTGGCTTCTTCGCTAACTTCGTCTTACAGTTCGAAATCACGATTTTCATCATCTGTCAGCAGTTCACGACCAAGTACGACGTTATCCAGAGAAGTTTCCCGTTCGCTGATGTCATCGCAAACTGCTTCAGCTTCGTCGCTCACAGTAGTTTCCCGTTCTCAGGGGTTTATGCAAGCAACTTCTCCTCATCATTTTCATTTAACCCAGTGCCGCAAAGGCTCCCACCTACGGTGGGGTAAGGGGGGGTCGGATGTACGCAGTCTTACCCCTGTACTAAAGCACAGAGAGACTGTTTCCGGATGACCCATAGTGAAAAGCGCGTCCAAGATTGCATGGACTGACTGCTGCTCCATAACAAAGAAGCGCAGACAGTTTAGTGAGCCATTTTGCTTTATTCCATCATAATCTCAAGCCAAAAAATAATGAATCTTTGGCTCCATTGCAAATGATGGAAATGCAAGCAACTTCTCCTAATTCGTCAAATTTATGGCAATCTGAAGTCACCAGTTCTCAACTTGCGCAAGTTTCTCCGGAATTGAAAACTGAGTTGAAGCCGGCTGCACCAACACCTTCAGAACAGAACAAAGCTGACATTCTTCCAACGCCAGCAGTTTATGTCAGTTCGCCTCCAAGTGTGAAGCAATCAACAGGAGATGTTCTCAGTTCGCAGATAACAGACAACAAAAGCGAGATATACATGAACCGAGGACCTAGTCGAGTCAGGAGAGAGGTTGAGTTGCCGCTATTCAATGGCAAGTACGGCTCTTGTAGATCTTCAGAGCCAAGGCTTCTGTCGGATGGTTTTCCTAGTGACCCTGGCAAAAATGGAGTACAAGCAGAACGTCTGGCATCAGAAGTGCCTCAAGTTTCTATCCATGATGTTCGGTATGTTGCTGCCAAAATGATAGGAAATTTCCAGAGTTCTGTTATTTCTCTTGCTCTCATACCTCTGGCTGGAAAATGCAAAGATGATAGGAAAACACCTCATTTGACAAATGATAGCAATGAATTCTTGTTCTCAAAATTCATTCCTGGAAAATATAGGGATGAGGTTAGGAACTCTTTAAGAGTACTTTCTGAGAGAGATAAGTGGCAATGGGATGAAAATGTTACTAATATCAGGATTAACCTAGTTTATAATCATGAAGTAGATGCTGAACGGGCAGTAACGGACGAGTTTCTTGTGAAAGGTGAAGTAAAGGTGGGATCTCAGCACCTATGTATGGAATCTCTTGGAGTGCAAATGCTGAAATTTCAGAAATCATGTATTTCCTGGGGCAGAACTTGGGATCAGGACTGGGATATTGGGAGTGAGAGACCACTCGAAGAGTCTCAAACCTTTCCTTTCGTGACTTTCTGTATTCCTTCACTAAATTTTCATTAATAAACTACTACTTTCTTCTTGGATTCTTCAGTTACTTATCAGCGTATATAAACAAATGAGTCGATTTGAATCCTCAAGCTCTATGTAGTTCCATTCGATTTAGGTTAATATACATAGTCATTTTTATAGATCTAGACACTCTTGAAACACTATTCACTTCACTGTGTTAATCGGTAAAATAGATTTGATTGTCATTCCTTTTTTATACTCCCCCCGTCCCGAAAAGGTTCGCCAATTTGACTTTTCTTGGTCAATGACAATCAACTTTGACTAATGATATTTCTTAATACGAAATTATTTAGAATATGAAAATTATATCAAAATGTTCATCATTCAAAATATTTTCATAAAAATATAAAATTTATAAATTATATACAAATATAATAATTAAAATCATCGTCCAAAGTTTGCCATCATTGACCAAGAAAAGTCAATATGGCAAACCTTTTCGGGACGGAGGTAGTATATCTTTTGATTTTTATATAGAGAAGGTATTTCATCATTGCTCAATAATGTCTCCTCAAATATAAGTTGACGGCTGAAACATGCACACTATTTTGTAAATACCTTGAAACAATTTCCAAGAGTTGCTTGTTAGTATTATTAGTTGGTATACTACTTCCGTCCCTTAAAACTTTGCCAAAGTTGACCGGCACGGAGAATAATAGAGTAAAAATTGTGTGGTTGATGTTTGTACAGAGGAGAGAGAAATAATACTAAGGGACGGAGGGAGTATTACAAAAAAGAAAACTTGTCAAAGTTTTAAGGGACGGAGGGAGTATTACATTATAAAACATTACTTTTTAGAAAGATTTTTCAACATTTTCTAGCTCTATGAGTATTGACTAATATTTTAGAAATAGACCCAGATTCAAGAGTATCATTTACATGACTCATAATACTATGTCCTTTTTGTTCTGTAAACAATTATGTAGTACAATTTGGTTTTGCTGGTCTAAGTATCTCTAAGGGTAAGGATTCATATTTTTGGTTTTTGTTCAAAATTCATTGTTAGGTTGGCCATATAGTGCACTCCTATTTGAAGATCTGCGTAGTCGTCTTCCTTATTTGGGTGGAAACTTATCTAAAAAAATATTTTCTCGTACTAAGTTTTGTGCTTGGTTAAATATTAAAAGTTCTGAATAAAATTTCTTGCTTTTTGGGCTTTAGAGAATATCTTATCATTCCTGATCAAGCAATTTGAATATCTTCGCATGCATTTAACTTTGTGTAACACATGTATAGTTCCTTATCTTAAAGTTGAACATTTGCTGTTTTTTATTTTACTCTTTCTTATTACATGTTTAATCGCAATGAACACTCCCTCTATATGCTTTGCAGTGTTGATGATGGATTCCCTCCGGTCACAATATATTTTCAAAATTCACTCACTTTAAAAGTTAGTCCTCAAGAATACCTATTTCCATATGTAAGTGTTTTTCTTCTTTGAGCTATTTTCCCACCGTAAACTTCTACCTTTGCAATTTATCTCATGTTATTCTTTAAACATGATGTTTACTAAACTATAGATATTCAATGTTCAACTTAATTTTTACTTTCTGATGTAATGGATCACTTCCCCAAGTAATCACTCTTGTAGTACTCTTACTCAAAGCATCTTCTATGTTATCTATCAGAGTTTTTACCACATTTGGTCCCTTACTATTGTGTCAGTGACACTTTTGGTACTCGACTTTTTAATTTTCCCATTTTTAGTCTTCAACTATTGTGCAGAGACACTTTCAGTCCTTGACTTCAAACTTTCTCACATTTAGTCCCCTGAGTATTGTAAAATTGTCAAAAGTCCTACTATGTTTTTGACACAATAAGTGGAGGACTAAAAATGTTACTATTATAATAGTTGAAGGACCAAAACTTTCACTTTTATGAAAGTCTAAGGACTAAATGTGGAAATTTTCAAAGACGGGTATCAAATTTTTTTTCGCACAATACTCGAAGGACCAAAAGTGGAAAAACCCAAAGTCTGAGTATCAAAAGTGGCGGTGACATAAAAGTCGGAGGACTAAAAGTGGCAAAAAACTCTTATCTATCATTTTTGAAAGACTTTTATAGGATTCACCTACATGCATTTATTGCATTCATCATCATTACCCCACTGCCGCAAGGCTCACACACCTTCGGTGGGGTAAGGGGGGTCGGATGTACACACTCTTACCCCTGTACTAAAGCACAAAGAGACTGTTTCCGGATGACCTAGAGTGAAAATCACGTCAAAAATTGCATGGACTGACTGCTGCTTCATAACAAAGAAGCGCAAACAGTTTAGTAAGCCATTTTGCTTTATTCACCTACTACATGCACCACTAGTAGTAAATGCATTCATAAGTATTTATCAACAAATTCAGCTAGCATATTTGTAGAATTCCTACTATTTTTAATGTTTTGTACTTTCATTTTTGTTAACCTTCTACAGGAAAATTTATTTTGCATTGGATGGCAAAACAGTGGAATACAATCTCATGACAGAAGGAATATCACACTTCTAGGAGGTATGCTTGTTCTCAAAGAAAATCATTTTATTTGATTGATATTGCCAGGTAGCAGGTTTTATGTTACATCGCCTCTTTAGGATGTTTTTTTTGTGTGTCTACTACCCGTTGGATCTTAATGTCCTATTGACAAAGCAAAAGAGTGGTGATAGGTGAACAAAACAAATGCTAGTTTGCACAACCCGATGTATAATAAGCTATTCTGTTAATCAGTTTTCCCTTGCACTTTGTTTTCTTTATGCCATATGAAATAATAACTCTTCATGAATAATCTTGGAGAGTTGGAGTGAGCGCTAAGTTAAAGGATTATTAAAGGATTATTTGCTATGTCCTAATACAGACGTGGTGATAACTGATAATATTCATTTGAACAGTTAAAAAGTTTTGTATATTACGTAGTAGTATATTTAGGTACTGTTCTTTTTGGAGTCTGAATAAAAACTGACGTATCTTTTGACACTACAAATTCATGGTAGAGAGTAGCGCCAAATATTTACATGAAGAGTAGAATTCTGGAGCATCAAATTAGGCAATTTTAGGGAGACATTCCTATGTGACATACATTCTTTAGGTGACGGTAAATAAGACATTATCATGACCTAGTAAATTTGTGCCGCATAGGAATGTGTCTCTAAAATGTTTACATTTAATGCTTCTCTATCACTGTTTTTACATGAATGCCCTTTTTATTTCAATCTTCTTCTGAAGGAATAAAGATTAAATTCCAAACTTGGCATCATAAATCTCACTTGCAAGACAAAAATGTGATGTAATAGTTGTCTTAGACTTGCAGCCATGTGACATTGCAAGATTTGTATTGTAAATCCACATGCACCCCACAGAGCATGACTTCGATTCTTTCACTGTATTCCATGGAATTTTCTTTGAGCTTATTTAAATGGATACCACTTCATACACATCACTGATACCTTACATGTTTGGATCCCAAAAAATTCTATGGAATGGAAAACAAATGCTAAAGAAATACATTTTCTTATGTTTAGCTTTACCTTGAAAAGTGCAATAGGAAAATGAAAAATTATTAGTTTTTTAAAATTTGTGTTTATAATCATATACTTTTTTTTAGCTTTTATCTATTATTGAAATAATTAAATACTTTCCATCATTTGCAATGGAGCCAAAGATTCATTATTTTTTGGCTTGAGATTATGATGGAATAAAGCAAAATGGCTCACTAAACTGTCTGCGCTTCTTTGTTATGAAGCAACAGTCAGTCCATGCAATTTTGGACGGGATTTTCACTATGGGTCATTCGGAAACAATCTCTTTGTGCTTTAGTACAGGGGTAAGACTGCGTACATCCGACCCCCCCTTACCCCACCGTAGGTGGGAGCCTTTGCGGCACTGGGGTAAATGAGAATGAAATGAAATGAATGATGTTAACCGACCCCAAAATCTTTTGGGAACGGCTTGAATGTTTATTCTACTCCAATTTTTTCCTTCCATTTTTATTCAGTATTCCTCTCATTTTCTTCTCATAGTATTTCCCATGTTCCGAATGGGCCCCTATATAGAATAAAGTATTTTAAATCTTTACACTTCCTGAATATGTGGGCACAATGAATAAAATTGTACTGTACACCAATATCTCTTCTCATGCTTGCAGACTTGGTACTTTCAAATAAGCTTGTCCTCTATGATCTTGAAAGTCAGACCATTGGATGGACAGAATATAATTGTAAGTCAGACCAATATCTCTTCTCATGCTTGCAGACTTGGTACTTTCAAATAAGCTTGTCCTCTATTATTCGATACATTGCTTTGATTTTTTTCTGAAACACAGGTATTCCATTGTATATAATATTTAAACACATGCATAGAAAAAAGGAAAAGGGGATAAAATATTTAAAATCGTGCCCACGTGTATGTATGCATTTATATGTATATATATGCGCACGCAAAGAACGAAACTGGTGCCAATGGTACAGTGCCGATCAAGCTCTATCTAATTGTGCATTTTGCTTTTAAACATAATCACATAAAATCGCATAATGTACAACTTGAAGGATTTGGTACTGTTCCTTCTTGGCAGTGAAGCCTTTTCTTATGCAACACACCCATCTGTTTATTTTATGTGTCATTGGCTTCATTCAACTGACATTTTCTAAGGGAAGCACTAATATTTTCTTCTAATTTGACGATTAAAATCTAATATAACCCGCATTAATGCATTTGGGAAGTCTTTTCAATGTTCAAGAAAGGGGAAAAGTGACAGACCTTTCAACCAGAAAAAGTAATGGTAGAATTGTTAATTGACAAGAAAAAGTGAAGCAAATAAAGAAACTTGAAGTTTAGTTCAAGTATCCAAAAAAGGGACGGGCGATGTTTTTAAAGCATGGATTTTATACTCCCTCTGTCTCTAAATTTTAAACACTTTCTTTTCTCTTTCTTTGTCTGCCCCAATACTATCTCCCATTTGGTTTTAAGAATAGCATTGTGTGGTTCATATTCCTAGTGCATACATGTCTACCACAATATTTAACTTCTTAATCATTTTGCAAGGTGAAATTGTTGATTAAGTTAAGGATAGAGTGTTAAATATGGAATCTCAGATGTCTGCATTCTGTCTTGTGTTGGGCTGTCGTGTGATGCTGAACGCAACTGCTAAGTTGCATTTAAATATGAACCGTCATTGAACTGTGTTTATTTGCATGCAGGCTCATCGAGCATTGAATTGAAGGATGAGATAACCGGATCTGTGCATTTAGTTGGTGCTCATTCTATATCATGTGGTTGTGGTCTAAGTTTAAATGTGCTCTATGTCTTATGTCTGTTAATCTCATTTTTAGTGCAAACAAGTATCTTCTGAACTGACACAACTGCACAAGTAATATTCATTCTTAAGTTCTATAAAAAGGAACTTTGCAAAGAATTCATACAATAGCAATATATTTTGGCTCTAAAAGCGGGCTTGCATATACTTGTAGCCAGAAGATAGGTATTAACTCTAGCAAACTATCAATATGTAGTCCCCATTTTTAATTTTGTCATGTAAATGGAGTTTTGTAAATATATCAGAATTAATAATAATAATAAAGCCTACTTTGTAGCTTTTCCATTCTTTTCTTCTTAAAATTGAGACATCAACGTTTCTTAGACATTACTATTCCAGTAACTAGTTTTATGGAAAATGAAAACTAATAATCCAACATTTTAGCGGTTTTCTTCCAATAGTCTCACCTTTTCATTATTCAGGAATAATTCAACCATTGCACACCATCTTTATTCAATGGTCCCCGACTTGTTGATGACATGTTATTTCAAGTTATTTTCTTATCTTTGTAAAATATTATGTGACCATAAGGTGAGATTTATGATATAATATATTACAAAGATAATAAAATAACTTGAAATAGCAGGTCATCGATCAGTCAGGGACCAACGAATGAAGATGGGGCGCAAAGATTGAATTATTCCTGAATAATGAAAATGTGGGACTATTGTAAGAAAACCGCTAAAAGGTTGGATTATTAGTTTCCATTTTCCCTTAGTTTTATCATATTTTGTTCTTGTTGTATACTTATAGCTGGCGAGTGGTGATGGGGCAAGTTTCAAATTAATAAAAAACTAATGTGGCTGACGGAAACTTGGAGAAAATGAACGCCATTATTTGGACCAGCCCTACATGTTTAGCTTAGGCATGGACATGGTCCCATTTCGGACCGGCCTGTCCTGTTTCGTGAAATGAGAAGCCCAGAACCAAACCACTATATTCCGGGTCTGGGCCAGTGCAGAGTCCTCAGGCGGTTCGGTCTCGGTCCTGGACTCGAACCCGTTTTGGTCTATTTACCCAATTTTAAGCTAAAAAAATTGGCTTGTCCAAGACTGAACCGGGAGTCCAGGACTAGAAACGCCCGGTCAAGTCCTGGAACCGGAAAACCGGACCCAGCTCAGTCCTGCACAATAACAGGCCCAATTCTGTACCGGTGCAGGACCACCGACTGGGTCAACCCCTAGTTTAGGTTTTAGACCGACAAAATCTTCGGGAAAATGGAACCATTATTTTTAATAGAAAAATTGTTTGAAGAGTTTCTTTTGATAAGGAAGAGTTTTTGTGCTTCATTCGTATCAAGTATCAAGGGGTTTCCACTTTCCACTTGTTTCCAGAGCTTTTGTGCGATGGCTACGTACACTGAAATTGTAATCGGAAGCTCGGAACCTTATCATTTTTTAATTTCAATCATTCCAAATTTCCAATAAATTAATAGCAATTCTAAGCGAATTCACATATGGTGACCCCCCAATGCCCCATATAGATGAAAGCCAATACAAAAACCTCAGTTGCTTCAACTATACATATTGCCAGCATTGTATATGTAGGCAACTATACGGTAAGTAGGATAGTAACCAGTCATCCAAAATGGCGTCAATAATAATAATATTCAGGGATGAGTATCACCAGTTCATTTGCCCATATGACTTAGTATCCTACTGATCAATCCATCTTTCTTCCCACCCACAGGGAGGCTGTGGGCCATCAGGTAGTACTTCAACTCTTGAACCGACAAATCTTTTAACTGCCCATTAAAAAATCAATCTGGATTAACTCAATCAAATACAGATGTGATGTTGTCCTTTACAGCAAGTAAAACTGGGAAATAAATTTAATTTTCTTCAATTACCTGTCCATTGTCTGCAAGGTCAGACCAGTCATACTTCGTATACTCCTTGACGGCATTTTCAGCAATTGCTTTACGTTTTTTGGCAGCCTCGCTAATAGTAGTAGTCTTTCCTTTGGAATTTAGCTCACTCTCCTCATCATAGTTCTCTCCATATACAGAAAACTTGAAGTCCTCTAGCGTTTTAACGATACCAGGTCTATAGTAAAAAATGACAGAAATTACTGATCATATACAGGGGCACACAAGGTTCTAGAACATGTAATAATGATATAATATGATTACCTAGACATGCCTTCTTCATCGGGAAGAGTTTCATCTTTCATTTCAGGCATCTCGTCTTCATCCAGAGCAAGAGCCTGCAATATTGCATAGTGTCTCTGCAATGCTGTGTGCAACTAGAAGTTAGAACTTTTTTTAGAGGATAGATAAGTAAGAGATAGGAGTTGCTTCAAAAGATTGTGTGGGAGGATAAAACACTATATCCGTGAACGAACAGTATATAATTACACATACACCTTATTTACCGATAAAACATTTTCCAGAAGTTTCTTACCTCGAAACAAATAGAGCCCTAATTATTGAAGAACTTCCGATTGAATTTAGGAGTAGTCTTACCCTGAAATACTCATGGTATTGGGATCAAATAAATTCAAATGCATACTCCATTTGCAAAGTGATATCTTCCCATGGAGCCATTTGATTTAAAAAACATTTATTGCACTTTGTTACTTCGGAGGCGGTAATCACTTGATATTCTTGTGCAACCATCCAGGCTGCTTAACTAGCAGATGCTTTTTATCTTCATTTCCATTCACCGGAAAACGTAATAAAAGAATGCTACAGTTCTTAATAAGAAACAATTAATATGTCTCTTCAAAAAAGTCAATATGCTCTTGATCTTTCTTTAAAATATTTCTTTTGCATTGCATGTTTATCTAGAGACTGCTAAATGAAAGAATCTCTCTTGAGGATTATTATCCACTAGCAACTTTCAATTTCCTAGTGTCTACTCGTATTTATGGCTCCATGCTATGCAAAAAAACACCACAAGCTTGTTGCTTTTTTCCTGTTATTTTTTTTAATTGATACGTGTGGGGGCGATGAGGAGACTCTTTGGATACTTGTTTTGTAAGAAACCGAGTATTATCCAATCCAGCAATCCCAAAATACCTTGTCATCATTCGTGCAATTTTTGGTCAAAAAATTATTCAAAATTTAACACACGCGCACACACAAAAATCCAACGTCTTCCTTATAGTGGAAGCTTACCAGGATTTGAAAATTGGCAAACAGAAAAGTCTTTTAAGTCAATACGCCTCACTACAGCAGAGGCTGCTTTAGTTTGGTCATCAGTTGCATGAGGCAAGGACTCTGAATCTGCATGAAGCTGCAGCAACCAACAAACCCTTTTATGAAAAGTTCATCAGGGAATTAGACTGAAGTTATATAGTCTGCTTGCCTCTTCAATATGTCTAATATCATCAGAGTAAGGAAGAAATATCAGATGCATCCCTGGTGGCTCAACCTGACCACGAGTAGTTGTTATCTCCTCCTGCAGTTTACCAAAGAGTCAACAGATATCAGATATCATGGTGCAAGAATTAGAAACTGATGGAGGTAAAACTTTTTGAGATTCTTGATAGAAGCATAAAAGTTGCAAGCATGCAAATGTAAAGATAAACTAGTTATGCCGAGTGGGGTCCAATATCTTCTATAGGCGTGTCAAGTTTGACTAGCACGGGAAATAATAAAGTAAAAATTGTGTGGTTGAGGTTTGTGTAGAGGAGAGAGAAATGATTGCAACCACAAATTGATTGATTAAAAGGAAAAGTGGCAAAGTTTTTGGGACAACCAAAAAAGTAAAGATGGCAAAGTTTTAAGGGACGAAGGGAGTGATTAACTGCACTAATTTTAATTTTTAGAGACGGAGCTCGAAGGGGGGGGGGGGGGGGGCGTGTGTCTGACAGAGGCAAAGCAACAAAGAGAGATATACCCCAGCACTCTTTACAACACTACTTATGATCCCTTGTCATATTAGATATTTGAGCACACACTAATGAAATACCCACATGAATGCTTCAAAGTGCAAGAGGAAGAATAGTGGAAAATGATGCATTGAGGGAGTATAGCTATCAGTTCAGATCTTGGTTGGTCGTACTTTGACAAATTGATTGCTGATATTCTACATCTTAATACGCCTAATAATATAAATGATGTACATCAGAGTAAGGAAGAAATATCAGATGCATCCCTGGTGGCTCAACCTGACCACGAGTAGTTGTTATCTCCTCCTGCAGTTTACCAAAGAGTCAACAGATATCAGATATCATGGTGCAAGAATTAGAAACTGATGGAGGTAAAACTTTTTGAGATTCTTGATAGAAGCATAAAAGTTGCAAGCATGCAAATGTAAAGATAAACTAGTTATGCCGAGTGGGGTCCAATATCTTCTATAGGCGTGTCAAGTTTGACTAGCACGGGAAATAATAAAGTAAAAATTGTGTGGTTGAGGTTTGTGTAGAGGAGAGAGAAATGATTGCAACCACAAATTGATTGATTAAAAGGAAAAGTGGCAAAGTTTTTGGGACAACCAAAAAAGTAAAGATGGCAAAGTTTTAAGGGACGAAGGGAGTGATTAACTGCACTAATTTTAATTTTTAGAGACGGAGCTCGAAGGGGGGGGGGGGGGGGGCGTGTGTCTGACAGAGGCAAAGCAACAAAGAGAGATATACCCCAGCACTCTTTACAACACTACTTATGATCCCTTGTCATATTAGATATTTGAGCACACACTAATGAAATACCCACATGAATGCTTCAAAGTGCAAGAGGAAGAATAGTGGAAAATGATGCATTGAGGGAGTATAGCTATCAGTTCAGATCTTGGTTGGTCGTACTTTGACAAATTGATTGCTGATATTCTACATCTTAATACGCCTAATAATATAAATGATGTACTCCCTCTGTCCCGTTGGAATGTTCCCGCTTTCCTTTTTTGGATGCCCCGTTGGAAAGTTCTCATTTCCCTAAATGGAAAGTTATCCTACATCCAAACAGGGTCAAACAGCGCAAAACAGTGTCAAACAGTGTCGAAACAGTGTCAAAACAGTAAAATTTACCCCCTGGTAAGTTTATTTCCTTAATATGTGTGTAGGTCAAACCGGGAACATTCCAACGGGACAGAGGGAGTATGTTTTAAACATGTTAGGAGATATGCGAATCGAGTCGCCCATAAGTTAGCGGAATACATAGTTTCTTTGTCAGGTTATGTTTTGGATGGTCGTTCCACCAAACTGTACTATGGACATTATTCAAGATGATTAACACTAATAACAATTTTCTTGTCAATATAAAGTTATGAGAAACACTATTATGGTGGATAATGATGAAAAAATAGACACCAAGAGTGCAAGATGCTAAGTTGGCTCTGTAACTGGTCTGATCTGATGTCTGCTCATGCACTTCAAAGAAGCAGCGCATTACTGTTCATCTATAAGGAGAGAGGTTCATACAAATAACTGGAAGGGTTGCCGATCTATATGTGCATTTTTAACGTCTAGTACAAAAGAATTGGGAAGCAGAGGTGAAATATGTACAAATTCCATTTTTAGCATTTTAATATCAAAGTCTAGCACTCAAGCAGACACTGATTTGCTCCCATACAAATAGATCATACAAACAAAAAATAATCATTGCAAATACCACGTCTTAAAAAAAGCAAAATGTGTTACCTGAGCAATAAGGGCAACCAATCGAGACTGAGATGAACTCCCGTAAAAAGCAACTGCAAAACTGAGATAAGAAAATTATCTAAATACGAAAAAGGCAGCATTAGGCAATCAACTGCATTGAAAATAGGGTCAATGATTCAGCCAGTGACGTTTTTGGCTCCAAATATAATCAGAACAAATTTCGAAATGAATGGTACTCCCTCTTGATATATATATATATATATATATATATATATACATAAATATATCTATATGGATATATATGATCAAATGTGAGACTTTAATGTAAAAAACGAAAATGAATTTAGTGCAGTGAATTTGTGTTCTAATGTGTCTAAAAGTGCCAATAATGCAAAAAAATGATGTAAAATGCAGCGGCAATTGCTTAAGTGAATTAATTATGCCACTGCAAAAAGTCCAGCATTTTAACTTGACATAGGTGTCCGGCATTGAGTTCCCTACCATACCCAACCTCCATTGAAAACACCAAAATACCCCTTTTATAAGTATCCATCCATCTACTTACCATACCTACCCCGCAACAGGTTTTGGAGCATTGCGCATACATGCACATGCACACAATGACACAAATACACACATGGTGCTTGAAGTAAAAAATAGACTTCCTGGGAAAAATTGAAAACAACAAGACTTGCAAAAGTGATGCACAAAATTATATCACGATTGCACTTCTGGCTTATGATGTGCACTTTTTAATTGAAAAATGGCAACAAAAATGTATGCCTTTTTCGTTTTCATTCTCATTTTTCACCCAAGGATCTCATTTTGTTTCATCCAGAATATAAACTCCCTTCGTCCGAGCTTAAGGTTCTCACTTGCCTATTTTGGACGTCTCACCTAAAGGTTCTCATTTCTATTTTAAGAAATAATTAACACTCATAAATGCCAACTTAATAATAAATATTAAAAATAATGCACCTATACATCAAAATTATCATCAATGACCCCATTACATTATATACCCATCAAAACTATTTCACAAAATATACACAAATTACATTATTTAATTATTGTCTAAATAACCGTGCCATTTTTCAAAGGGAACCTTAACCCGGGACGGAGGTAGTATGCATTATATGTGAGTTTATACAACCAAACATACAAACACACATGAGTATGGTTTCAATGGATGCAACAAAACCATATATGAGTATGGTTTCAATGATTACAGGCAAAATCAAATGGATTAGAACATGTGATCTTTAGTGCTCACAAAAAATTTGAGCATTTTATGACTAGTACTAGTAAAAGAAAGTACCATCCCTTGGGGAGGCAGGGGGTCATTGAAAACTCTCCCATACAAACACAGAAAAATGTATATAGGTATTTAAATATAAGGCTTTGTTCTACATGCATTTTATGTTCCAGAAGTTCCCCCGATCCAAGATTAATGTATATATTTGATTTTGTTTGATGATCACTATATAACGAAGGTGGGATGGTTTGTCATAAAAAAGACTTAAAGTGGGTATAGTTGCCAGCTTAATAACGGGAAAAATGAACAAGCTTCCACTGACCATCACAATGGGTGGAAGCAAGACCGATTGCTCATTTATATGTAAATATGCATGGAAAAGAAATTTGTACAATGGATATAGGTTCCGACTTAGTAATCGGTTAAATGAACAAGTCTCATCACTCATTGATACGTTAATATGCATGCAAAAGAAATCAGTACACAAAGACTAGAACTGTTTTCAAATTGATGTACTGAAGTTCCGAGTGACAAACCGCTTGAGCCGTATCATTGATCTATGCAAAGCAATGAAAAGACATGTACTTCCCATTGCTTCCTGCAATAGAATTATTGTTAAATGAAAAAGTGCTTAACATAAATGCCTGCAAAATTGATAGGGATCAACCTATTAGACTAATAAATAGAAGAGTTAGTTGTTAGTTATATTTCTGTTATTAACTAATAACTAGAGTAGGTTGTACTGGAAGGCTATAAATAGAATAGTATGGGAAGGAGAGGGCAGGCTGTTTTAGACTTTGTCTTGAGACTGGGAAGATTGAGATTACTCTCTCTCTTTGGGGGCTTCGGCCATTGTTACTGTTCTTGATTCAATAAAGCTTGCAGTTGTTTTTCTTGTTATCTTTCTGTAATTTCTGGATATCTCTATCAGTGGTATCAGAGCACGTTACTTCCTGGAGACGGAAAATCTGAATCATCGGAACGATGGAGGAATTCTATATGACACCGCAAATGGAAGAAAGATTTGACAATTTGAATCAACAGATGAAGGAGACGAACCAACAGATGAAGGAGACGAACGCTAGGTTGAAAAGTATCTTGCACGACTATGAGCGTCTAAATCGTAGATTGCAGCGATCGAGCAACACCAAGCATCATCGTCTTTCTGATAAACAGAGTCCATCGCAGTCGCTCACCAAGTCGCAGAAGGAGTCGCAAACTGTTTCGCACTCGCGAGAGGATTCGCGCGGAAAATTGGGGAAGCTCGCAGAAAAGGTTGAGCGCGGAAAAGTGGAGAAAGAGAAGCACTCAACCCTAGAAAAGGAAAAGCGCTCACACCTGGAGAAGGAGAAGCGTGCAAAGAGCAAGGAAACGAGGACAGGGTTGGACGAAGTGCGCACCAAGCTGCGGCAAAGTCACCGGCGAGGACGGTTGAGGACTGTGCGTCGCTGCAGGAATTCGAAAAGCAAAGGTTCGTTGCAGTCACCAACGTCTTCTGGTCTTCTGGCTTCCACGTGAGCAGAAGTCCCTAGTTCGCAGGTTTCTTCAACCACCGGATCTCACATCTCATCATCGCTTATACCTTCAGTTAAGGAAACAGACACTGAAGAGGAGGTTAATCAACCTACGGAAATTTCATCAGACAAAATGGGAGGTTCAGAAATACTTAAACCAGATAATACTTACTTATGATGATATGAGCTATGCTAATGTATTAAATTTGAAACCCTTGATTGATTTCGTTCCTGAACTTGGATTGGGAGTTCCAATGAAGGGGCTGAACCAGATTGATGGTTTCCTAACCTCTATTAAGAACATTCAAGATAGATCGGGAGTAGGAATTATTGGAAATTGGAAGAAAAAGGTTGGTAATATTACTGAGGGTTACCCTAACAGATTCCAGATGTCTGACCATGAAATCAACCCTGCTATCTTCCAAATGGCCTTGATAAGTGGTGAACATGTAAGGATAATGCCATCAGTTTGTATATCACTTCAAGAAGGAGATGTAAGCTTAGACTATCGGTTTGATGATCCTGCTGTGACAAATTCTTATTCTGTGGCTAGAAGCTCATCTGCTAGGTCCCTGGTACTCGTAAGTGGCATTTACAGGACTTTGTCAGCTCTTGTCTTGATTCTTCCATCTTCCAGCATCATCAACAAGGATTGAATGATTTTAGTTCTTTAAATATGTTGACTGTTGGGAGAGAGTGTGTTATTGAAGTTCATTCAAACATCTGGGTGTTAGAATCTGGTGTTGAGAACATGAATTATTATTCATTGATCATCTATCAGGACCTACTGATGTCAAGTTGTCAACTACACTTTTTAAGGACGACTTGATTAAATTATTTACTCATGCTGTCTTGATACTGAATCCAATTTTTTTTTCTTCTGGCCTGAGCTCTTGGTCCAGTTTTCGTAAAGGAAATGATACATCTAATAACTGAGGAGGGTGGCATGTTGAGAGGGCAGACCACGTGAGAGGGTACTGCTATGTGCTAGTGGACAGTGATCAATGCATCTCAAGAGTTTCAATGGCACTGACCACGTTAGGGAAAGAAGTTGATCGGGAAAGAAACAGATCAAAGTGTGATGGTCCAAGCAAGGAAAATGAGGAGGAAAAATCTCTGAGAATTGATAAACAACCAGGGAGATACGGGGAAGGTTTCGACTGCCGGTTTTATAGGGCTATAAACTGTGAGTACATTATGATTCTCAACAAACCTACTGGAAGATCTTATGATGAATCAACTAAGTCTCCTTTGTCTCCTTGGGTTCTGGCTGATTGTTCCTCAGAATATCTGGATTTGATAAAGTCTTTTACTTACTTGGTTCTTGCAAAACCAATTGGAGCATCAAGTCCAAAACAAAATGGAGTCAATAAGTGATGTTGTGCTTCTTCAATGGGTGAATGATTTATTTGAAGAGTTCATAAGAAAGCACAGGGAGTATTCTGCCACCAGGATTATGCTTCTGCTCCTACTGACAGTGAAGAACAGGAAAATGAAGTTTCAAGTACTGAAGCTACAAATCCAGGATTCAGTGAGGTATTGGGAAGGAAGGGGCATAAGAATGAAGATGAAGCTGAAAGTTGCGGCTGTTTCCTATCACCCACCTTGAGGGCAAGGTGGGATGCTTAGGGAGGGAGTATTGATAGGGATCGACCTATTAGACTAATAAATAGAAGAGTTAATTGTTAGTTATATTTCTGTTATTAACTAATAACTAGAGTAGGTTGTACTGGAAGGCTATAAATAGAATAGTATGGGAAGGAGAGGGCAGGCTGTTTTAGACTTTGTCTTGGGACTGGGAAGATTGAGATTACTCTCTCTCTTTGGGGGCTTCGGCCATTGGGGGCTTCGGCCATTGTTACTGTTCTTGATTCAATAAAGCTTGCAGTTGTTTTTCTTGATATCTTTCTGTAATTTCTGGATATCTCTATCAAAAATTGTTTGAGGAATGTAAAAATGACAACTGCTACTCTCTCTATATGACACCCAAATGTCTATTATGAGCAGAACATTTCAAAATTTGGAAGGTTCCTTGTATCTGGTCGCTGGGGCCTGGGGCTTATCAATTTAATAACCCTCAGCAATAATATTAATTCATTCTAATTATGTACAATAAAGTACTAGAGACTGCACATAAATCCTCAACACATTAATAAATTGGTAAATGTTCCCCCACCATTTACCCCACTTTTGGTAGTTTGCCTACTGGGACTAAAAAATCCTCAACACATAAAGGTTCCTTGAATCACATATAAATCATATTAGACTTCTCTTTTTGGCCGTGATCGAATTATAATTCTTAGACAAGTTGGCAAGTGCTCTTTCTATTTACTGCCAGTATACTGCCAATTTATCCTTTCACCTTTCATTCTGTAGACCCATTTTTCTTTGCTTCTTGTCCAAAAGGATAAACATGGAGAATAAATAACATGCACTTCATTATCTTAATTAAGTGAGACAAATCCTAATGTATGATACAATTTGGGGCAAAAGAGAGTATCCTCTAACTTAAGGTCTTCAACAACATTCAAGTAGTGCACCATGTGGCATTTTAAAGGAGTGAGAGAGTAGTGTAGGTTACTGTTTGCATAGAACTCCATAACTAGCTGGTTAATCATGTTAGAACTGTTCAATTTCATAACTAATAAAGGCAGTTAAGCTTTGACAAAAACACAATTACAGAATTAGCTTGACCTCATCAGTAGGGAAGACAAATGTTGATGGCCTCAAATTATGATAGTCCTTTAGGCAGCTCAATGGTTTGAACCCTAGGAGATGAAGGTCTCCAGTAGAAATTTTCTTTACTTCTGAAAGTTCATCGACTGAGAACATGACAGTCTCACTGAATTAAAAGAAAAGAAAAATGTCTTACGCAAAAGATAAGCTAAGAGAAAAACATATAAGAATTTAAAAAACAATAAATAACTAGTAGGAACAACATGCAATTTAAATTTCTTCATTTTTAGGGAAATGTGGGAATAAGTAATTGTTGACATAAAAAACTGACTTTTTGTACAATTGAAAGCGCTTCGGTGGCTCTTGTATCACAGTACCAGTATCCCCACAGATCAAGAATTTCTCCGTCTGCAACAGGTTATTTGTCAAACTACAATCAGAAGTGTATCATTATTAAGTGAAGATATAGTTGTCTTCATCATTCCATATGAAGCATAAAATAAAGAGCTGAATAAGTTACGCTACATTACAGCCAAATAACAAGTAGCATGAGTTTTATCCAAAAAAAACAAGTAGCATGAGTTGTTTTGATAACAAAAGTATTGCAAAGGGCTTAAGACAACTAGATCAATAGAAAATGTAATTATAAATCACTGTTAAATAGTCACTAGATTACTACAAATTGGATAACACATTTAGTAGCAAAACAGAGTTATAAATTTATAATGCTTATGGCATCAGATTTGCAGTAACATAACCTACCAAATTGACAAAGCTCAGTAGGCACTTCGGAGAATCTGATAATTACAACCTTTAATTCTTCTTACCCACCCATAAAGACCACAGGAAGACAATAAACACAGTTTTCTGAAAATCAACTTTGCTTACCCTCAGCGGAGGCTACTAATCTTTTTGTTTATTAAATTCATCATTTCAAGGCTAAATATTAATCTTGTTTCCACGACAAAGATCAGGTAACTAATAAGGTTGATTACCTTCAGAGGAAGGTTAGTGACAGAATCAAGCCAAGCTATAGTCCCTGTGACAGAAAGATATGACTAAGCTATTAATTATCTTGAAGGATAAATGGCCCATGAAACTGTAAAGAACTACTGCCAGACCTGTATTAGTAGGACGAATTAAAGCATATGTATTCACTTGTATAGATAAGTCATGTGCAATTGTAAAGTTAATTCTTCGAACTTTACGCTTCTTGAATATACGCTTTCTCAATTGGTCCTTCAGATCCTCAAATCTGATATTAAAAATGGCTAAAACAGTCATTTACAAAAAAAACAGACAAGTTAACATGAGGTTAAATGGAGTCTGAGTGCAAAAAATAATACATAGTACGACATATGTATTACCTACAAAAGATACATAGAATGCACCATAAATTCACATATTTGAGAGAATCCATAATTCAAACTTGTTAATCTACATCCTATACATCTTAATAATATAATGGCAGGTTTGAATTCGTAGAAAAGATATTGAGTACACACTATCTTGTCAAGTATGTACAATTGAGGAGTATCTATAATAGTTCGGAATTAGCAACTACAGACAAACAAATGAAGGAAAAGCCTGAATTAGCCACACTGGTCTATCAATGCTCAGAATAAATCAGAATGTAGGTGTACATACAAATACAATCTAGGTAAGAATGTTTGAAACCATTTCAGAAAAATAGTAGAACCCCCCACCCCTAATGGTGAATTATTTTTCGGCTAGTGAAAATGGTGAAAATGAGAGTTCTTATATCCAACACGTGTTTCCTTCAATAATTCAAATGACTAGGCCAGGGTGAGGGAGTACTGCGGAGGCTGTAGTGAAGTTCGAAATATTAATGAAATGCATACCTTTCCCCTATTAATGCCTTAAACTGAGCAATTTCATCATCCTCCAAACCAAGCAACTCCTACATGCAGTAGATGTTGAGTTAGACAAATAAAAAGATTTACATCCTGAAATTTTAAAAAAGTGGAACATACAGCATAGAAAATGGAAACATTAAACTCCTCCTCTGGTCTAGTTAAGGGAAGAATTTCAATTGATATGCCAAGATCTTGAGCATCCTGTAAAAAGGCAGATTATGTGAGTCCCAAGTTGCTTATGCATTTTCCAATAGCAAAGAGAGAGAAATAATAAGGTCCATTCTTTATACAAAAATGCATTTCATTCCTGATAATACCATATACTGTCTTTAAATATCCTTGAAGATTTTTTTCCTTTCATTAGAGAGCTAGAAAAAACTCCGCCATGAGATCATTTTTGGTATCATGCTTGTCCCAAACCATCCCAAACCAGGATAAAATAGGAGGGTACTGTGGTAGGCACATGACGGCCAATAGTATCACTTAGTCATATCACATGACATGAATCGAAATATGAATATCGCTTCTCTCTCTCTATTTTATCTTTTTATCTTCTTTATCTTTCTTATATTCTTATGTTATTTTTCTCTTGTATCTTTCTTATGTTCGTTTACCATTTTTATCTTACCTTATCTTTTCTTTCTTATCATTCTTTTTTTTGCTCCGATACCATGAATCGGTTCATGTTAGCCGACCCCAAAATCTTTTGGGAATGAGGCTTGGATGTTGTTGTTGAAAGAGCTAGAAAATACATTTCCAATTTGAATACTTGGAAAATTAACTATAAATCATTGAATCGATAACATCCCACTACTTTACACATCATACTACCAGCATAAGTGGTAGGTAGAATGGTATTTGCCTATTTTTTGGAACTTGGCATCAGATTGAATCACTAGGTTCAAATTCGTTTTGGATAGCAACTATCTCCACTAAATCACAACATTTGACAAAAAACTAGAAATCATTCCCTTTCGGAAAAGAGATACTTCCATTTCTATTATCTGCGAAGAACGTTCTAGAAACGTAGTAATGATCCCTTCTATTCTATTATTTCGAAACAAATAGTTCATTCTAGGTTTTCTAGCTTAACTAAAAACAAGTTGAACAAAAACATGTAGTGAAATGCATCACACCTTGGCTCGCTGAATGGTTGTTCTCATCATATCAATTTTTATTGCTCCCTTGATACAACCAAATGGGTCGTCTTCATTTGTAAATAAGAGAATCCTTTTATCAGCATTTTTTGCAGATCTGTAACAGTTTAAGAGCCACTATCACTAAAATCTAAAACATTCAAAATCGAAAAACACAAACTCCGTAACATTTAAGATAAGGAAGAATGCAAAAACAATGATAAATACTTTCCCTTTGCGGAGAAGAGCCTGAGCAGCCCAAATAGCATTGTACAGTGAATTGTCGCGAGATCCGGGTTCAATGCCATATTTACTGCCAATTTGATTATTAAATATTTCTGCAACCATATACAATAGCTCAAGTTGAATAAAGCTATTAACCTTATAAAGTTAAAAAAATGCAATAACAATAATATATTAATATTGATGCAAAATTACAATAAGGAATGTGGGTGAGACTTGCCGAGAAAAATTGCAATGGCAGAAGTTTTTGAAGTGGGAAGGGGGGTTCAATTTCTTATGAGTTCATGGTCCACCTTTTCTATCTAATGGATATAGGGTGTTAAATTTAAAATTATAGACAGATGGATAAGAGGATTAAGATTTACCTTTGATGCGATCAAATTCTTTTATAAGTTTTGCTGTTGGTCTGTCTAAATCATCTCGATCCTGGACATTGTATACGTAGACACAATTCAAGTCCTGCAAATTCTTCTTTTCCCTCTATTGACATAGACAAATGGTGTTAGTAAACATTAAAATCATTATCTATACTGAAAGAGGCCTGTAAGATAACAACTTAAGAGACAAACAATTGTACTATGAAACTTATGCATTTAAACATTATGAAACCCAGTTATGTATTTTTATCACAAAAAATCTATTGTATACACCCACGCTTTATGGTAAAACAATACCAATTTTTAGAAAACATTTATACTAAGTGTGCCCCCATTAGTAATCCAGCCACTGATTGGCATAAACCATACAAGTACACGCATCCTGACAAGGAGGAACCTTTAAAGTTTAAACTAACAATTTCTAAACCCACACTACTATAGCAATGCACATGTCGTAGTTTTACGAGGATCAACGGCTTACAGTATTGTAGAAGCATATTGCAACTTCATCATACAATCTATTGACTATTTGAGTTCTGAGGCTTTGTGCAATACAATTAATAGCAACTTCAAAATGAGATATTTCTTTTTCATGTTCCTGCAATGAGGGACATATTAGAAAATCTTATGCACAGCATTACAACCAATGCCAACTGAACAAAACTGACAATTGGTAAATCAATGCAGTGTTCCAATAGCTGTTGCAGTAAATAACCAGAGATTTATCAAAGAAATTAATCCTACTGGCAACTTGAAATCACGAAAAGACTTAGCATTATTGGTAACAATGTAACAAACAGCATGCAAACATAAGAAAATACCTCAATTGAAACATTTTATGAACTCCAGGTTAATTAGTAGAAAAATGAAAAGAGGTCTTATTGTAGTTGCAAAATACCTCATTCAAGGTAGTCAAAGGCGTGAGGTCCTCACTTAAGGATACAATAACACTCTTTTTTATGGTATTCTTGAAAATAATATACACTATAATTAAATACCAATAGAGCAACATATAGAGATGCTGACTAATAAAGTACGATGAGTATTTCCAAACAAGCTTCAGAATTGCAATGTCATCCACAAAGTGAGAGAATAACTTCAACTGTACAAGTTTAACATACATGAGCAATTTAGTGTTTGCCTGTTTGGTTACATTGCAATCAGGCCTTGTTTGGAACTTCTCAGAAAATGCCATGGACGGAAAACATATGCCAAGGTAAATTATTTATGTGTCTTTGGTTTTCCTTAGGAAAATGCAAAGCAAAAAGAAATATGATTGATATTTTGATTTTTTACACATGCTTAGTGATGGATAGCATATCCGGGGATACCGCTGGGGGTATCTAGAGAGATGCCATAACAAGTAAGAGAGAGAGAGTGAGTATTTATTCAGTGAAGAAGTTATATCCCATTACAATGGAAGAATGACTGCTATTTATAGCAACCATAAATGCTAGGTGCAATAAATGAGGGTACACGTGTCAAGCAACCAACGGTTGAGAGTCAACTCAGCCAGGCACAACATGTGGCACCAGCATAGCATGTGGCCGCATTCAATGCGGTGGTCTGGATGTGATGTTGCATTCAATGCGGTGATTCGGCGCATGTGGAGAGGAGTTCCTGTCGAGGAGAGTGCCCTTGGCTACATGCACCCGGGGGCTGCATGTGGCGAAGGCTATGTATGAGCCGAAGGCTGCCTGTGCCGAAGGCCGCACGTACCCAGGGGTCATTTGTGTGTCGTAGGACATACGTCCCTTGGGGACTTCATGTGCCGAAGGACGTACGTCCCCTGGGGCCGTACGTAGCTGGGGAGGACTTCATGTGCAGGAGGACGTACGTCCCCTGGGGCCGTACGTAGCTGGGGAGGACCGTCATGTGTTAGAGGCCGTACATAGCTGGAGAGGACCGTCACGTGTTAGAGGTCATACGTAGATGGAGCTCTTCATTATTAGAGGCCGTACGTAACTGGAGAGGACCCATCATGTGTTAGAGGCCGTACGTAGCACGGAGGACTTTAATGTGCCGGAGGACGTACGTAGCTGGGGAACCTCATATGTGCAGGAGGACGTACGTCCCAGGCCTTCATGTGCTGGAGGACGTACGTCTCCGAGGCTTCCATCTGGTGGAGGACGTACGTCCCCTAGGGCTTTCATGTGCTGGAGGACGTACGTCCCCTGGGGGCTTCATGTGCTGAAGGGTGTACGTCCCCTGGGACATTCATGGGCCTTGTTTGATGTGTTTGGGCCTGTTGGACCTGATTGTAGTAGTGGAAGTATGTTGGCAAGGGGTTCCTAGGCCATATACTCCATCACTTAGATCGCTTATTATTTATCTGTAGAAATAAATAATAAAAAATGAACTCGATTAATTTATTAAACTTATTTACTTTGAAACAACATTTTATTTTCCTCAACATTTTCTTTCCTTACAAATTTCACTGTCACTTTCCTCCTTAATTACTTACCTAGCATTTACTGTGTTCCATAGGGACCCTCAGGGAGTCGGGGTATCAGGTATTGGGGGGGGGGGGATTTGGAGGGAACATACACTACATGTCTACATTTCATTTAAAAAGCAACTACGCAAGCAATCTAGAAATCATGTTACCCCCAGAAACACATGTAATCGGAAAAAAGTACGATCAATATTGACAGGACATTTTCAACATATAGGTAATGTGCATGGTTCGTCTTTCCTTCTTCCCTCCTCTGTAGCATTTATTTTACCAGCTTTCACAGTTAAGCCCCGAAAATTAAAAGCAGACAACATTTCCCCCTTTAATGGCGTAATTCCTCACCCGCGTGCATGCAGCGTGGGGTGGGGACTGGGGAATACGAACATGGAGAGAAACTAACCGCTCGAGAAGTAGTTGAAAACATTCTGGGGGAAGCATCCACAATATATACTAACAGTTCTTTCGTAGCTTCTCTCTCCTGTGCATATAAAATAAAGCAGCGAGAAATCGGGGTTTAGCTCTACTGCTTTAGCATAGTTTGCCAGCAATAGCACGGAGAGTGAGAAAGTGAAGAACCTGATAGAATTCACTGTCGAGGTCGTCTTCGTCGTCTCGAAACACATCATCGGGGTCTAGCTCCATCGACTCCCAAGCTATGAAAGAACTATTCCCTCCTCTTTTTTTTTGCTCCTGAGCTGAAGAGTGGAGAAGCCGATTCCTCTCTGAGAGGGGACGAGTGGACTTTTCTACTGTAGCAAAGTAACAAGTTTTGAAGAGCCAAAGCAACAAGTTTTGAAGAGTTGGGCTAGGAGTACACATTTTTGTGTACATTTTCTGTACACTCGTCTGTCTCATGCATAAAAAATTGTCTTTTCACATACAATTCTATAGAGTTGTTTGTAGACAAACAATTCTATGGGCGTGAGACAAACGAATGTACAAGATATGTACACTAAAATGTATACACAAAGCATTTTTCAGTTTTGAAATGGAAAATTCCCTTTGTAAGGGCCACTTTTTACACGTCGGGTTACACGCCGGTCAAATTTTCTGTGTACAAACAATTTGACCAACGTTTTATTAAGAAAACTGATTTTCACACAGACAAAAATAAAAAAGTTGTTTGTATCACAGACATTTTAAAATCCTCGTTTAAAGTTTATCGTTTAAAATTCTCATTTAAAATTGTCTGTGTCACAGACATTTTATGAAAAATTCTCGTCTAAAATGTCTGTGATAGAGATAACTTTTTATTTTTGTCTGTGTGGAAACCGATTTTCTTCATAAAACGCTGATCAAATTATCTGTACACAGACAATTTGACCGACGTGTAATGGCATTTACACGAAGCGGGACTCTTTTGAAATTTCAAAAAAATGGTCAGTCTGGAATTCTATGGAGGATTTTATTGAGGGCATGGCAAAATTATGTTGGGGCACCAAATGAAATGTGTACATTCATCTCGTTTAGAAAAAGCAACAATTGTCTGTGTGCATATGTGAGTGTAATATGTATACAAATTTGTATATTTCTAAGTTGTGTGTGTATACAAGTAGCACATTTAAAAAAATTGCAATTGTCTTTATACACAGAGAAGTGTTCTAAATATACACATTTTTTTGCACACCAAAAACATGATACTATAGGTATGAGTATCATATACACATGTATTTGATTAGTCCAAATCAATGTTTATCAATAACTAACATACTCCCTCAGTCCTTTAAAACGTTGTTAACTTTTCTTTTTTAGTTGTCTCACTAATTTTGTCACTTTCACTTTTAAAGAATACGTGATTCCAATTGATTCTATCTCCTCTGTGCAAACCTCAACCACACAGTTTTTACTATATTAATCTTTGTGTCGGTCAAATTTGGCAAAGTTTTAAGAGAGTGATGCGATGTGAATTATTCAACCCATGCGAGTCTGGGCCTTTTTTTGTAATTGGGCTTACTAGATTTATTTTGATTGGGGCCTAATGTCTTTGCACCTGGAGGCTGGAGTTGTGGGACAAATCATTAAAATTGTGGATTTCCAGCTTTTTTCTTCAAAGTGAAAAGATGAAAGGCAATACATGTTTGCCTCTAATTGCTTTTCAATTTTCTCGTAAATAACACAAATTTTAAGGATGATTGTAATTATAATATAAACATATTAATAAAAAAATCTGAAATGCCCTTAGCAGATTGTGTTAAAACGTGACAACAATTCCGGGAATAAGTGAATCTTTTTATCATCACGAAAAATGTAGTATTTGAATCTAAGGATGTTTTAATTGGATTTAAATTTTCCAATTTAGACTAGTCTAGCTTGTTTAAATCTAACCTCGTCCGGTAGATGCTTGCTTTTTTACTATTGCCTAAGGCTAAGTTTAGTCTGACCTAATTTGACCTGCTTTAGTCTATGACTGGAATCAGATGAATAAAAACATATCTAAAGATATCGTAGATATACTTTTATAGTCACAATGATGCAAAGTTTGAACATCGTTATAGTCACTAAGAGTTTATTAGGTCATGTGGGTTTTTATCCATTGTCCTTAGTTTGATCATATACTTCGTATGAGGAATTATTTCATATATAGGGGGAGCTTGAAAATCAACGATGGCTATTAGCTGATAATCAAAACTTTCAACGAATCGATATCGGCCAAAATGACGGTGGCAGTTGTGTAAATAAACCATTATTTGAGCTACCGTGAACAAGTGCAACGAAAACAAGAAAAAAGTGCAACCGAAACATGACAAAGTGCAAATTTCGCACTTTGCACGGGAAGAACACTTTTTATTTGAACCATTCCCTGATGAGGGGAAAAGATGATACGAGATCACTCCTCCACACGAATACCCGCCTTCCACTTAGCTCTCTCCAAAGTCATGCCCTCATCCAACCTCAGAAGAAGCATATCACTTCGAACTCCCCTAACCCACATCTGTTTGAGTTTTCCTCTCCCTCTCTTCCCTATCTCTTCTCCACACATCTCAACTCGTCTGACAGGTGCATCACTCGGTCTTCTACGCACATGACCAAACCACCGTAGGCGCGACTCCCGCATCTTATCTTCAATAGGTGCTACTCCCACCATTTGTCTGATTGTCTCATTCCTCACGCGGTTCTTCCTAGTATGCCCACATATCCAACGCAGCATGCGCATCTCTGCCACACTCATCTTTTGAATGTGACATTGTTTCACCGTCCAACACTCTATGTCATACAGTAATGCAGGCCTAATTGGTGTCCTATAAAATTTACCTTTCAGTCTAGTCAGCATACCTTGATCACATAGAAATACTGACGCAATCTTCCACTTCATCCACCATATTCTGATTCTATGAGATACATCTCCGTCTAACTCATCATCCTTTTGAATTATGGAGCCCAAGTAACGGAACACATCGCTGACTGGTATCTCCTTACCATCCAGAGTAATTCCGCTATTACCACTTGTTAAATTAGGGTTAACACGGTGGGATGGTGAGAAATACTTCTCTGATTTCTGTATATTTTTCCTTGAATCATGTACAGGAATATATATACTAAAACTATCATAGATACCTTACTTACTTAGGAGATCTCCAGAGATTAACTTCCTATTTAGTAAAGATAGAATAGATCTAAGTAATAAAGACAGAATAAATCTATTTATGGTAAACTAGATATACATGGAAATAAAATATTCTTCAACAACCCCCTCAAGCTTGGTGTAGATGTTAATTAATCCAAGCTTGCTAGATAAAAACTGAAATGTGTCACGTCTGAGAGCCTTGGTCAGAATATCAGCTGCCTGGTGCTTGGATGGAACATAACTGACTGTAGCAATACCTTTAGCAACATTTTTAGAGATAAACTGTCTATCAACTTCAACATGCTTAGTTCGATCGTGATGGACAGGATTCTTCACAATGCTGATAGTTGATTGGCTATCTGATAAGAAATGAACAAGCCCTGCTGATCCAATCTTCAATTCATTTAGAACCTGTCTTAGCCATATTCCCTCACAGATTCCTAGAGCAAGAGCTCCTGTATTCGGCTTCAGCGCTACTTCGTGCCACCACATCTTGTTTCTTGCTCCTCTATGTTACAAGATTTCCCCAAACATAGCTGCAGTATCCTGTAGTTGACCTTCTATCAGTCAACTCTCCAGCCCAGCTGGCATCTGTATACACAGTAATGTCCCAGACTTCAGTCTTCTTGAAGTGTATACCCTTACCAGGAGTACTCTTCAAGTACTTAAGGATTCTAACCACCATTTCCATGTGTTCCTCGTTCGGATCATGCATGTGTTGGCTCAAAATTCCAACAACAAATGCAATATCAGGTCGAGTGTGTGCAAGGTATATCAATCGGCCTACTAACTGTTGATAGTTTCCCTTGTCTACCCATGGAACATCTTCAATTGCACTTAACCTTTTGTTCTGCTCCATCGGTGTGTCCACTGGTTTGCAGTTCGTCATGCCAGTGTCATTCAACAAATCTAATGTAACACCCCGGCCGCGTAGCCCCTGAGGTAGTTACTTCTAACCTCTAGTACTGTCCTCACAAACCGCCACTAGCCTTTTCCGCCCACTTTGTCCTCACTCGTGCGTGCCCTGAGAAACTTCCCAGGGGGTCACCCATCCTAAGACTACTCCCGTGCAAGCACGCTTAACTTTGGAGTTCTTGGCTAATGAGCTCCCTTAAAAGGAGATGCACCTTGTTGGTATGAGTAGTACTATTAACCCGTTTAAATTAAATCTCAAGTGTTACAATCACCCCCACTTAGGAACGCAACGTCCTCGTTGCGCCCAGAAACTAATCTCAATCAAACCCCAGAATCTTTCCCCTACTGAGTGTCCGCCCGATATCCAACAGATCAGCACACTGTCGCATGGTTGCTCTGATACCATTTGTAACACCCCGGCCACGTAGGCCCCGAGATAGTTACTTCTGACCTCTAGTACTGTCCTCACAAACAGCCACTAGCCTTTTCCGCGCACTTTGTCCTCACTCGTGCATGCCCTGAGAAACTTCCCAGGGGGTCACCCATCCCAAGACTACTCCCGTGCAAGCACGCTTAACTTTGGAGTTCTTGGCTAATGAGCTCCCTTAAAAGGAGATACACCTTGTTGGTATGAGTAGTACTATTAATCCGTTTAAATTAAATCTCGAGTGTTACATCTAAGATGTACTTTCTCTGAGAAATGACTATTCCTTTGTTTGATCTGATAATTTCAATTCCGAGAAAATACTTTAAACTGCCAAGGTCTTTGATTTCAAAGTCTCTCGCAAGCTGATCTTTGAGAAGTTGTATTTCTTCACTGTCATCTCCAGTTATAATGATGTCATCCACATATACAATGAGGATTGACACCTTCCCTTGATTTGAATGCTTTACGAAGAGTGTACTATCAGTTTGGCATTGATAATATCCCCCCTCTATGGCAGCCTTAGCAAATCGTCCAAACCACGCTCTTGGAGACTGTTTCAAGCCATACAAAGCTTTCTTTAACTTGCACACCATCCCACTTCTTAGATGCTGAATTCCTGGTGGAAGACTCATGTAGACCTCTTCTTCGAGGTCACCATTCAGGAATGCATTTTTTACGTCAAGCTGGTATACTGGCCAGTCTAAGTTCACATCAAGAGATAAAAGTACACGTACCGTTTTGAGTTTTGCAACAGGTGTGAAGGTTTCCTCATAGTCAATACCTTGAGTTTGAGTGAACCCTCTTGCAACCAATCTAGCCTTGAGTCGTTC